AAGTAAAGACCTCGCTGCAGTCGGTCCGTACGTCATGATCTCAACCCAAATACTTTCCCTTCTGGCCCTACCACTCAGTCAATAAGTACATCTTATTTCTACAAATAAATTAGCGTCTGCTTTACACAAGAGACTTTTAAGGGATGTATTTTTTTTTTAAACGAATCTAGTTTAGTATAAAAGCAACTGACCTTTTGAACTTTGTTTCGTTTACTCATCACAGGTGGTAGTGTTCCCGCTGACCAAATGACCACAGTGGACAAGCTGCAGACGATTTCGATCGGATCGTTCGGATTTTTTTGTGCGGTTGAGGTCCTAGGGATTATCATTGCTGTGGCTTTCCTGGCCTTCAACATTTCTTACAGTAGTCACAGGTATTCTGAATAGGTCCGCACGTGCATATAACGTAAACTGTTAATGAGTCTTGTACCCAGACCTTCCACGGCCAAGTGGTTGTCCTACATCTCAGTTACACGGTTGGATCTGGGTACAAGATTAACTGTTAACTGCATGTGGCAATGTTATTAGTATATATGGCGCAGAGCTATTGTAAAACTATTTACCCAAGGAACTTGACGATACGATAAATCTACAGAAAAGAGACACAAGGAACACGAAAATATCGAAAATATCGAAAATATGAAATGGTTAGTGAACAAACGCATGAATAAATGAAGAAAAGAGGCAGGAATCAACCCAAGAACGATTGTACTTTAAAAACTTATCTCGAACCCAGATCCCTACCGTGTAACTGAAATGTATAACCGCTTGGTCGTGAAAGGTCTGGGTACAAGACTATTAACAGACAGACAAATTGACAAACATATCAATAGATGGAAAAGGAGTGAATGTATAAAAGTAGGTTAAGATGAAGTTTTGGAAAAAAAAAGAGGAAGATTTTAATTTAAAGCAAGGGCTGAAATAAGGCAGACCCATATTTCCCCGCATTTTAATCATTTAATAGCTTACCTTCCTTAGAAGTTTTCCTTACTTACGATAAACCATTAATCTTACTACATAAAACATCCGAACAATTTGTCATTGACTTTACTAAGCGGGCACGAACATCGCAAAAACTACGATTTCTTGGCTTTTACATATTGTTAGTTTTTTCTCTAATACATGCAATAAAACATGAAAGAATACCTGGTGGAATAGCAATCGCTGAAAAAAGTGCGTTAAGACTCAATCAAAGCTGATAAGAGCCTTATTTGGAATTTCAGATTTATCAAGATGTCAAGTCCACGTCTAAATAATGTCATTGTGGTTGGTGCCATTCTTATTTACATCGCTGGTATTCTGTTGGGCATCGATGGCAACTTCGCGAGTATCGACATTGAGGCAATTTTGCAATGCAGAGTAAGTACCTTCAACCACATTTTGTTGTTATGATTAAAACCACGTAGAGGCCCAAGGTTCCCGAACATGTTCCAGGAAATTTGAAGACCTAACACTGGAGACAATTAACGACTACAATTCATCAATCACTGGATTTTTCGGAAGATGCTAACGATTCATAAATTACACCAGACTCGCGGCAATTTGTTTACCGATGCAAAAGATCACAGGTCAGCATGTCTAGGAAAAAAACGCGTATTTAAAGGATTTAGATACACTGATTCCCTTCTTGTTGCTGTAAATGGTTTACGAAGACTACCGGACCAAAAGAAATCGCGCAAGAGATAGCTCATTCCCTCAAACGCCTATGAAAAAGTTCTTCCTTTTCTTTCTGTTTACGTTTAGCTTTCGACCTGGGTAGCTTGTCTTGGATTCACACTCGGTTTTGGTGGCATGTTCTTAAAGACTTGGAGAGTGCACAAAATTTTTCTTAATAGAACAAAGAAAATGGTAAGTGTCTTCGAACGAGGTGGTTACCATCCGGTTCAAGCGTTTAGACTGAAAGTAGTCTGTCCCAATAGATGTGTCCTCAGGAGATTTTTTTTTATTTTGGTTGCGAAAAAGACAATGGAAAAAGGTAGAGAAATTTCTTGACCTTGCCAGGAGACTAAAGACTTGCCGTGCGCACGGTAGAGTTCGATACATTCCTACAAAAGGAAATTACAAAATCTACCTTTTCCTTGGCCCCTCCATTTTTTTCCTCAATAGATCCAACAGACAACTTCAAAATTCCTGTGACTCTCAACAAGCGGCTTGCACAAATGGTTGTGAGGCAATGCGCGAAATCATTTTGTTGCCATTTGCGCAGAGGGGGTTGTTATTCACCCTTGTGTCACCTTTTGAAGCCAAACCGTCTTCATATTTGTAATACAAACCTACATTTTATGACCACGGCATATTTTGACCGTAACAATCAAGTAATCAAGAGCGTCTCTTTTACTACCAACAGATCATAACTGACTTCCAATTGTTCGCAGTGCTGGGTCTGTTTCTTTCCATCGATCTCCTAATTCTTATGGTTTGGGAGATTGTTGATCCCTTGTACGCTAGTAAACACTACACAGGACGAGAGGTTTGGAAACAGTTAGCATCTTTCACGTACCTATAAGTCACTTCACTTTCAAAAGGACTTTTGACGAAACTACTGTAGTATAACTTATATCGTAAAAAAAGTTTGGTGTAAACGCTTTACCTTCTGCCGCGATTGGACTTTAAACTTACCAATCGTCGAAGTCTTCTCCAGCTGTCTCAAGGATATTAATTACCTTTATAACTCAGTGTTCCAAGAACTGTGTGGGTGGTAGGCGCGCTAAGGTCCAAATTGAAATGTGCGGGTTCGAGACACTAGCTGGATCATTGCGATGCGTTCTTAGGTGGGACACTTCATTTCTATAGTGCCTCTCTCTCCACCCAGGAGTCTAAATGGATACTGTAAAACTAGAAACTTGAAAAAATGGAAGACTCGCCGCCCATCCAGAGCGGAGTAGTAACAATCCTAGTCACTTCTTTTTGTTACAGACGAGGAGAGATCCAGTCAGATGATTCTGCTATATCGTAAGCAGACCTTACCTTTACCTTTCTACATTTCAGGAATACCGCTCATCCACGGACACCAACTACAAGGCTTATTACATTGAGTGCACCTCGAATCACCCGAAAATCTGGCTTGGGGTTATCTATGCCTACAAAGGACTTATGTTGGCGTTCGGTGCCCTGATGGCCTGGGAGACAAGGAATGTCACTTTCCCAGCGTTGAACGACTCCAAACACATCGGTATTTCAGTGTACAACGTGGTATTCCCGTGCGCCCTTGGAATGACAATTGTCAACGTGGTGGATTATAACCCGAATGTGTTTTACGTGGTTCTTTCCGTGTTGGTTGTTTTCTGTACCACCATTACACTGTGTATTGTGTTTGTTCCAAAGGTGATGATGGCTGCAATCTAACCTATTTGATTATCGGTTTTCTTTCTTAGACACCCTGTACGCTCACCTGCACCCGTTTTCAGGAAAATCGTCCCTCTCCCCACTGAAAAAACTTGCCTCCCCGAAAGCAAATTTCCTTTAACGTTGCAAACCAGTGACAGTTTAGAGAACCGCTAGATTTGATTATAGCGTGATTAAATCTCCTTCGTTATTTCGCTCAGCTGCTGCTTTAGCGCCGTTTGCTGTCTTGCTCATTTTAATTAGCTGAATACATAGAACAGGCTATTCAGCATATTTTTCTTTTCTTGATAGATATCAACCGTTAGAGCAGATCCTCTGGGGAAAAACAGACCTCGCTTTGTACCGGCACTGAATCGTCAAACAGTGCGGGGGCAAATAGACGAAAGGCAACAGTTACAGCCAGTTCAACAACAACAGCAGAGACCTACTTCTACTCAGACACAAGAAAACAGTCAACGAACAAATGCTAGTCCTATATAACGTGCGGTGCGAAGATTAGTTAGACGCGAGTGAAATAGTTTAAAATCCAGTAAGACACTGTTGTAATTTCAGTTCGAACGAGAATCGGTAAAGAGAGAGCTGCGAGAGAGCCCAAGAATAGAACTCCTCGATATTCCTAATCGATCACTATCGATTCGTCACGGATCACAGCACACTCTACCAAATGGTTCTAAAGGGTGCATTCCGATAGTCCATTGTACAGTCGTGTACTTGGTTGCCAAGCCTTTGGACAGAAGTGAGGCCAAGGTTGACCTTGTTATGATACTAACCTTGCTGCTTTTCAAATGCAAATTACTTTGTTATTATGCTAACTAGATACCGGTCAACAAGGTCACCTTCAGCCTCACTCCAAATCAAAGGCTTGGCACCTAAGTATATTACTGTAAAATGGTCTATTGAGAGTGGTAAAATCAAAACGAGGTTAATCCCAACGGCCAATCAGTGAAAAGTGGAATATCACAAAAAGCTGCTGAACCCTCCAAGATGAGTTCACAAGTCTAGACTAGTTTTAGCTTTGCATCTGATTGGTTAAAAATAAGCACGACTTTTCAATCTCAGGGCGTAATAAATTACAACCAAAACAATCCTAAATTACTGTCCGCACCCAATTAAAAATTGTTCTAAATGATGAGCAGTAAAACATAGTCAAAAAACAAAAGACAAGTAATAAAATTAAAAAAAAAACCAACAATGACAACAACCACAAAAGTGAAATTGAAATTTTTCCAACAAGGAATACCTTAGAGTAAGCCTGTAAGTCACGTTCGCAGACAAGCATAAATAATTCAGCCTACAATGTTACTCCAGCACTTGATAGAGATATCATGTATCCAAAGAATAGCACTGGACTTCTAAACTGTTACAGCCACGGATAGCACTTTACACTCCAGGATGTAATTCTTTCAGTTAATTTCATTTATTCACGCATACGAAAGGACATAATGATGAAAATAAATTATGACACTTTTGTATTACAGTGAAAATTTTATGTCATGAAAAGTTTCTTAGTTTTAAATACTTCTTAACTATTCCATCAAGATTGTTTTGCGAACCAGTTACTCTCGTTTCAAGGAGTATATGCAAAGTTACAAAAAATACAGAGTATAGAAGACGGAGACTTTTATTTGCTTTCGCCATTTTGAAAAATTTGGACGACGCAGACGCAGACGCAACCTCGGGTTTTGAAGAATGTTTTGTGGTCTATTACTCCAAGCTCCTCTCCCGGTGGCTGGGTCAGTACAATTCGATTCATTTATTTTTTTTAATCATTACACCTGAATAAAAATTTGGTCTACGTCGAAAGATTTAAAACTGTAAGCCATGTATTCAATACACAAACAGTATCAATAATTTATTTCTTTTTTCCTTTCTTTTTCCCTTTTGAATTGTTTTCTTGTTCGTTTGGATCTTTTCCCTCGGCGACGGCCAGTTTTTTCTTAAGCGCCAAAAGAATAGCCACTTCAGCGTCTACTTTTTCTTTCTCAGCTTTTTCCGTTTTCAGTTTACGAACCTTGTCGCCCTAAAACATATATTCAGTTTTGTTAGTGTCATGAAACAGAATCCAAATTGGAGCGTAGTTCTTGTCAGCGTAGGATGTACCTGAATCCGAAATGTCGTATGAGGATTGTAAAGCCACGTAATGATGAATCAAGCGTTTTTATCTCAGGGCCCATAAATTGAATTTTTATTTGGGTATTTCACATTGTTTCGCTTAACCTGAAGACGCAGAAATGCTGTTCAAAGTTTAAAACAATTGTGAACATTGTGTGGTTGACGCCCTTTACTTATCCACAATCATATCAAAGCCTGCAAATATGGATTTGCCTTCCACTTCTCCAATAATGTTCATTGTTTGACTTGTAATTTTCTGAGTTACTAACTGAATGGTGTTCTTACAAAGACAATCACTTAAAAAAACAAATAATAATAACATGAATGAACTCTTAATTTCTATTTTATTGACTAAAGAGCTTGTTCTAATACCTCAGCTATTCTAGAATTTAAATTCATTATTTTCTTTCATATTTTCATTAGGGGTAGGAATCTAACAGAGCAGTAATTTATCTGACGTGGTGACATGGTCGATTGTGTGGTGTTATCGTCCGAATGAGGCATATTTCACGTAGTGTTGTGTTTGTGAAACTCGAGAGATAACCCTCCTTCTTGTCTAGCTCTGTTATTGGTAATAACACGTACTAGTCGCGCATCATTGACGATGGATATCAAAACAAGACACAATTTTCCACTCTGCTGTTTCATGTTGGCTGACACATTGTGCTTCTTACCTGCTTGGTAATCTCTGCTTGCAATGTTGCCACGTCCATGTCAGCGGCATTCCCGTCAGAAGTGTTAGCTGCTTCCTCGCCTGCCGTTTGTTTTTTTTGTTTGTTTCCGCCATACTTTGCGCGAAATTGATCAGCAACGGACGCATCAATCTTTTGGAACAGCGGTTTAGGCTTAATCATAAATTAAACAAAACAAACTTAGTATCATTCAATACACCAAATTAATGTCAAAAATAAGTCGATCTAGGCGGTTTCCATGAAAAATTTGCAAAAGAACCGACGAAACTTTGTTATGAACTTTGCCCGAAGATCAGGATTTTCTCCTTATCTACGTGAACGAGGTTGAGTGTATTTTTCTCCACAACAGATGCTGTGAGTACATGCATCTTTCAGAGACCTCTTCCATTTCCACAGCAACTAAAGTGACCTTTAGTTTCCAATATTTTTTCTATAGAAAACGTTTACTTTTTAAAACATGATTTTGTAGATAAATGAACGTTCCATCGTTTGTCTCCCGATACAGAGTAAGGGCATCGATTAAGTTTATATCGACCTTTCGACTGTGACACTACTGGTCTTCATGGATCACTTTTTCATACTAACTTGTCCTCTACTTTGCTGTCATTTGCTTAGACCTGAAAAGAGTCCACCACTGTGTTCAAACAACTTAAAAATGTGGCTGAAGATTACATGTTTGCTTTGTTTGTCATTCAATTCCACACATGATGACATTTTGTCCATACCTTTCCAATTTTGTGACCAGGCTGTAAATAAGGAATGAAGTTATCCAAGACAACATTTCCATCGTCGGAGACCTTCAACACCAAGATTAGCGTCGGTGAGTTTTAATCTTTAATTCTCAAACAAAATATAACTTACAGAAGCCTTGCAGGCCTAAAAATTGACTGCCAACAATAGCTTCCCTTAACACACGCTGACGTAATCATTGGAGAGTTAGGTGTCTATTAGAACAGTATTCCCAATTAAAACTCTCAGTTCTTACCGCCCTAACCTCTTATTTTTTACGATTTGGTGTGCAGCAACAAAGATCTAGATGTCAATCGCCACTGGTGATAAAAGAGTTTCTAAAATATTTTGAAATATATTTGCACGCTAAACGGACCTACCTGTAGCTGGCGTTGAATCTCTTCACTTACACCTGGCATATAGGGATGGATAAGAACAGAGAGCTGCCAGGAGAGATTTGCCGCGAGGCTAATAACTGTGCCGGCACGTGACCTGGGGATAAATATAAACACAATGACCAACTGCTTCTGAGGAATGTTATTCCAGTGAAAATCACAAAATTTCAACCGAAGTTATCACAACTGCCGAAAAGTGCAAATGATATTATCATAACGAACTAAAGGTTAAGGTACGCAAACCGCCTGAAGCGCGGAGAAAAGGTAAGTGGCAGAGTCACGGTACGTTTAAAATTTAGCCTTTTCAGCGGTGATCATAGCTCGCTGAAATATCACAAGGTTTCTTGCATTATTAAATAAGACCCGCAAGTTGAGAAGACCCGTAGGATGAGAAGACC